TCAGAAACGAATACCGGTGACAATTGTGGATATTTATATATATGTAGATATACTGAGCATGTAATACAATCAAACAAATATACAAATCGTAAATATGAAAAAAAAATAATTGTTATTCAACAACATAGTGGTTTATGTACAACAAACAAAATAAGTGTTTATTATTTTAATTAAATATTAGTAATCAATATCAGTAGCATAATCACTCCTATTTTGAATCGCAAGGAAAAGTTCCAGTTTTTCCCAATTTTGCACAAATTCTTTCCCAAGCAAATTGTTTGGGAGACAAATTAAAAGAGTATTAAATATAGTTTAATTTAATATGAAAGTAACTGAAAATTATCAGATTTTTGAATATATTTTAATAGATTATTATTATAATAAATTTAATATTTTCTAATTTTTATTTAAATATTTTATCCACAAGGGTTGATTAGTTTTTCGAACATATTTTAATAAAATTATTATAATAAATTTAACACAACTAAATTTTTATTTAATAATATATTTTATTAAAATTATTATTATAATAAAAATATTATAACAAATTTAATATATTCAAATTTTTATTTATTTATTTTATCCACTAGGGTTTTTTTCCACAAATTCAATTAGCATTAACTGTTGTCATTTAAACCGATAGATAATGCAAGAAACCCGAATTCTGAAGTGAATGGGATATCTAGAATAGGTTAAAATAAACTTTTGCAATTATGCGCAGGTAAGACTTCTTTTATCTTCTTTTTTATTATAACATCTGCACAATCATGAACTATTATTACAGTTTATTAATTTAAGGACATTTCTATCCTAATTATAAAAATAAATACGCGGTTTGGAGAGGAAATCAAATTTTAGTTCAAACATTAATAATTTCAATTAATAAATAAGATATTTTACTTTGTTTTATTGTACATAAGAAAATAATAAATTATACATTAAGACTGAAAAGTTTTCGGAAATTCTCATTTAAAATTCGCGCGCTGTATATTTTTCGATATTTTAAGTTTATGTAGTTTGGCAGCACTTTCCTTAATTACTATGCCAAAAATGAGCGCGATCTGTCAGACAGTTCGTTTACGGCAGCTGTTGAAACCAGTTCACCTCAGTAGTGCGTTGCGAAATGTCTTCGACGGTCGTACGACCCGTCCTGAAAGGCTTTTGTACCACTCATAAACTTGAGTTTTCGATAAAACTGATTCCCCATAAGCCTTTTGTAGCATTTCGCAACGATTCTGCACACGAAATTTCGTTCGAAACACAAAATTTGATGCAAACTCTTTGTTCATATTTTTTTTTCCATTGTTTTTTCGCAACGCACTTACTGAGGTGAATGTGTTTCAACAGCTGCCGTAAACGAACTGTCTGACAGATCGCGCTTATTTTTGGCATAGTAATTGTCCTTAATTGCTGCTAAACTACATAAACTTAAAATATCGAAAAATATACAGCGCGCGAATTTTAAATGAGAATTTCCGAAAACTTTTCGGTCTTAATGTATATTTAGATAATAAAATAAATAATTAAAATAAAAATTTTCTATTATTTACTTATAAAATATTCATTATATTTATTGCTTATATATGTTGATTTCTTTAAATCAATATATGATACGCAAATCTTTACTTTGATTTGGGCATTTCCGCACTTTTCGTCATTAAAAAGTGCCATGGTTGCCAAAATTTAACAAAACAAATTTGTTGTTCCCAAGACTGCTGTCTCCCAAGCAATTCAGAATAAGGAAGTTCTGTTCTTGGGAATAGCTTGGGAATAGGGAGACTTGTTCCCTCGGAGAATTCAGAATTGCTATGAATATAGTTCATCAATATCTACATAATACATCCTTTTACATTTATTCTAGATTTTTTTTTATATCATCAGTTCGTGTTTCAAATTTACATATACATTTTCTTTTTTTGTGACAAAAAAAATTATTATTAAGTAGATCTATTACTAAATAAGGTTTAGGCATATATATATAAAATTCTTAAATATTATTACATACTTTAGCGTTACAGTCTGCAGCTGTGGTCACTGTTACCCCTAGAGGTGGTATAAGGCTGGGAGTACCGTTGTTAGCTGTACTGTTGTGTTTACCGCAACTGATACCGTATCGTCCGCTGTTTCACCGTCACATCCATTAGACCTTCAGTTGCCTCCACCGTTGCATACACCGTAATTTACTGGTAGATAAACTTTTAATTTTTATTCAGGATATAATTTATCGCAACTTCGTATTTTGTATCATGATTTACTTCTTATCTTGATTATATAATGTCTATTTTAAATATCTAATATTTTTATTAAATTTCTTTATCTTTCTTTCTTTCTATTATGAGTTTTATTTAAATTTTCAACAATTAATTTTTCACAGCTTTAATATTCTATTGGATCAAGTCTTGCGCTTCAATTTAAATTTAATTTTTTAAACTTTAACACTTTGCTGTATACTTCAACTTTCTTCTTAGTTATTCTTTTAAAAAAAAATATCTTATAACTTCGAGACTTCAGAAGAGAAAAACATAGCAATTAAATTCAAATAAAGTGGAAGAAAACCTCCATCAACAGCGAACTTCCCTTTTTATACCTCCCGTGGCCCACACGTTTTCCGTTTTCCAAAAGGAATATCAGTTAATACAGTTTCCTTTTGCTGCCTAGAAAGCCTTTCCCCTTCAATAGTTATTAACGTTTGTTTTGATTTTTCTACATTCCGAATAACAACAGAAAACTCCTAATTTTATTTGTTTTGCCCTATTGATAACGCTAGAACTTGTAAGCTGGGAATGTATACAGGGCTTTCACCGCGATCTTGTAAACCAAAACAAACAACGTCAAAAGAAGAAAAAGCTTTCTATTCTCATTTGGGTATGTGAATTAACATAATTTGTGATTTGGGGGAAGGAGATCATATTCAGAAAATGGTGCACGCTCACCTTATTAAGAATACCGGTGCAGGACGTCCAAGGTAAAACCGTAAATTTCTTTTCTATTTTTTTATTCAATATGTTCTCGAAGATACAGACCTACATAACACTACTAGAATAATTTTAACAACTCATAGAGTGTAAACTACTTGTGTAGTTTTAACCATTAGTATATTAGTACTAGTATAGTATAGTTTCAATTACTAGTACAGTTTGATTTACTATTATAGCGTTAACTAATAGTATAGTTTTATTTATTAGTATACATTTTGGTAGTGTACTCAGAGCCAGGCTCTGAGAAGACTTTTCAAGGTACCGTGTACATTAGGACGAATGACATCCTCAGGACCTCCGATCAAAAAATACATAAAGGATAGAGCCCTGAAATTATTTGCGAAAACTGACAGACTTACCTACACCGCGTTATCGAACCTCAGAATGGTTACAGGCTCCTCCGGGACGTATGCAGATCTGAGGTCAATTATTGGTTAGTCTGATGAAGTGATAAACAATAAACCAGTCAAGGCGTAAATAGGGGTTTTGAAGATACCTTGAGTTAACAAAGAGCAAAAGTGCGCAAGTGTACTAGCTCAAACACCAAACCAACCAGACACCCACTTTTCGACCTCCTCGTAGGAATCAAAGTGCTGCTCAGCCAATGCGTGTCTCATCGATGAAAACAAATGGTAGTCGGAAGAAGCCAAGTCTGGTGAATACGGCGGGTGGGGTAGCAGCTCCCAGCCAAATGTTTTGATTGCATCCTGAACCCGTTTTGCTTTGTGTGCAGGTGCATTGTCATGGACCAGAATTACCTTGCCGTGTCTTCTGGCCCATTCTGGTCGTTTCTCCATCAATGCATGGTTAAAATTTATCATTTGTTGTTCATAGCGACCAGATTTGACGGTTTCACCAGGTTTTAAGAGCTCGTGGTACACCACACCTTTCTGGTCCCACCAAACACACAGCATTGTCTTCTTGCCGAATCGATCTGGTTTTGCAGTCGATGTTGATGGTTGTCCCGGATTAACCCATGATTTTTTCCGTTTAGAATTCTTAAAATAAATCCATTTTTCATCGCCAGCAACAATCCGATGCAAAACCGATTTTCTTTCGTGTCTTTGAAGCAAAATTTCACAAGTGGTTTTTCGGTTTTCCATCTGTCTTTCATTCAATTCATGTGGCACCCATTTTCCACACTTTTCGATCTTTTCCATAGCTTTTAAACGGTCAGAAATTGTTTGTTGTGCAACATTTAACATTTCTGCCATTTGCTTTTGACGCAAAGTGTCATCTCCATCCAATATCGTTTGCAATTCGGCGTCTTCAAACTTTTTTGGCGGTCTTCCACGTTCTTCATTTCTCACATCAAAATCATTATTTCTGAACCGTTGAAACCATCTTTTGCATGTTGCTTCTGATAGAGCATGACCACCATATGCCTCGACAAGCACTCGATGCGACTCTGCACCACTTTTCTTCAAATGAAAACAAAACATTAATGCTTTCCGGAAATCATCACTTTCTGGTACAAAATTCGACATTTTTAACACGATGAAAAAATATGATGTTGTCTGTTCAATGACTTGATGTATACTAAATATATTTCACACATGTCATAGCAAACAAACAACAAAAAATAGAGGCTCGTTCACAGCAAATGTTCCCTGTCGGAACATTTGTATCGTTACGCTCACTTCATACCGGTACACCTAATAGCTTTTACAAACAAAAAAAATAATAGTTTTAATAATTGAATAGTTAATAATAATGCTGTTTATTGGTAAACTTTAGCACTATATAATTATCAATAATATACACAATAAGTGGAGCTTGTTGTTACTAAAATCAATAAAATAAATCTTCAACAAATCTTTAATAAATCACAAAAACAAAAAATTGTTACTTACGTCTATATACTTCGATAATTTTCTAATTTTCACAATTTTATTAAAATATTTTATTTTTCTGTTTTTTTTTGTTTGTTTTTGGTGAAGCTCAGTGCAATTATGCCTATTAAAAATTAAAATTTGTTTAAAGCCGCCTTTTATCGCTTACGGTCTGCTAATCAAGAACAATTTAAGTACTTTGACGCACTAAAAGCAGAAAAATGTTGAAGTCCTTTCAAATTGTTTAAACGGCATAAAGTTAAAAGGGTTTCAATCAAAGTTAACTGAAGCAAATCAGTTTTGTAAAGAAGTTCAAGTTATTGTTGATTTT